CCAGCTCCTTCCCCTCATCACATCCAGTTTGGACACACTGCGGGGAGCTCCCATGGTCCCACCACCTGGGGGGCACATGGAGACCTCATGGTCCTTCTTGTGGACCTTGTGGACATGGACCTCCCCACTTCTCCCACCCCCAGGTGTTCTTCAAGGCGGGGCTGCTGGGGCAGCTGGAGGAGATGCGTGACGAGCGCCTGTCGCGCATCATCACGCGCATCCAGGCGCGGGCACGGGGGCAGCTCATGCGCCTCGAGTTCAAGAAGATCGTGGAGCGCCGGTGAGGCGGGGGCAGGGCTTCTCCTCACCCTGTCACCTGCCCGGGGATGCGGTGGCACCTTTGTCACCTTCTCTGCCTCGCAGGGATGCTCTGCTGGTGATCCAGTGGAACCTCCGGGCCTTCATGGGGGTGAAGAACTGGCCGTGGATGAAGCTCTACTTCAAGATCAAACCCTTGCTGAAGAGCGCGGAGACCGAGAAGGAGATGCAGGTGGGAGGAGGGGGCGGGGCCGGGGGTGACCCCCAATGGTCTGGGTGGTGCTGGACAGGGCCATTGGACTTGCTCGGGGTCTCCTGGAGCAGAACATGAAGGAGGAGTACGGGCGGCTGAAGGACGCCCTGGAGAAGTCAGAGGCGCGGCGGAAGGAGCTGGAGGAGAAGATGGTCTCCATGCTGCAGGAGAAGAACGACCTTCAGCTCCAAGTGCAGGCYGTGAGTGGCATCACCCCAAAACCGTGTCACAGAGGTGACCGCTGCCCCCACCGCCCACGGGGACACCCCGCTTCACCCGCCACACACCCCAACAGGAGCAGGACAACCTGAACGACGCCGAGGAGCGCTGCGACCAGCTGATCAAGAACAAGATCCAGCTGGAGGCCAAGGTGAAGGAGCTGACGGAGCGGCTGGAGGATGAGGAGGAGATGAACGCCGAGCTGACGGCCAAGAAGAGGAAGCTGGAGGACGAGTGCTCGGAGCTGAAGAAGGACATTGATGACCTGGAGCTGACCCTGGCCAAGGTGGAGAAGGAGAAACACGCCACYGAGAACAAGGTGAGRGCGGRGTCTGGGCCTCACGGGGAGACTACTTGAGTCTGGGGAGCCTTGTTAGGTTGGGTTGAGGAGACCCAAGGTGAGTTGAGGACATCCAGGATGGGCTGGGTTGGGTTGAGGAGATCCAAGGAAGGCTGCGATAGGTTGAGAAGACCCAAGGTGGGTTGGATTGGGTTGAGGAGACCCAAGAAAGGTTGGGTTGGGTTGAAGGGACCCAGGGTGGGTTGGGCTGTGTTGAGAAGACCCAAGGTAGGTTGGGTTGGGTTGAGGAGATCCAAGGAAGGTTGGATTGGGTTGAGGAGACCCAAGGTGGGTTGGGTTGAGAAGATCCAATGTTGGTTGAGTTGGGCTCATTGAGAAGACCGGAGGTCCTTTGGGTCCTCCTGCTTTGTAAGAGGTGAAACCAACCTCATTGGCTGAGGTGAAACCAACCACCCCTGACACGGAGCTTGAGGCCGGACGCTTCTCCTGCAGGTCAAGAACCTGACGGAGGAGATGGCGGGGCTGGACGAGACCATCGCCAAGCTGACCAAGGAGAAGAAGGCCCTGCAGGAGTCCCACCAGCAGACGCTGGACGACCTGCAGGCCGAGGAGGACAAGGTCAACACCTTGACCAAGGGCAAAGTCAAGCTGGAGCAGCARGTGGACGACGTGAGTGCCGCCGGTCCCACCCCAGGCCCTGCCGAAGAACTCCTGGAGCAGAGACGAGCAGAACCTGAGGTTTCTCCCCATTTCCGTGTTCCCGCACAGTTGGAAGGCTCCCTGGAGCAGGAGAAGAAGATCCGKATGGACCTGGAACGAGCCAAGAGGAAGCTGGAAGGTGACCTGAAGCTGACCCAGGAGAACATCATGGATCTGGAGAAYGACAAGCAGCAGCTSGARGAGAAGCTCAAGAAGTGAGGCTGGACCCTGCTGCCGTGTCCAGCCCAGTTGAGGGTCACAGGTAGGGTCTCACCATCCCCCTCCTTCTGCAGGAAGGAGTTTGAGATCCACCAGCAGAACGGCAGGATCGAGGAYGAGCAGGCGCTGGCTCTGCAGCTCCAGAAGAAGCTGAAGGAGCTCCAGGTGGGGCRTCAAGTCTGTGCCTGGTTGGGTTGGGCTGAAGAGTGTCCACGTGGTTGGGTTGAGAACTAAACTGATGGGTGGGTTGGAGAATCTCCTGGTGGTGGGGTTGAGTAGAAGAGTGACCTGATGCTTGGGTTGGAGAATATCTAAGTTGTTGGGTAGAAGAGTGATCTGATAGTTGAACTGGAGAATCTCCAGGTGGTTGGGCTGGG